TTGTGCACAGCATACAACCTCAAAATATTGTTCTTATTGTTTATTGTATTTATTTATTTTTTGTATTTTATATATTAATGAAAATATTTCTGTTAAATTTTGGGGTCTTTGTGGTATCGAAAATGGTATCGAGCATCGACTACTTTTCCTGAGTATCGGTATCGTGTTGAAAATTTTAGTATCGTGACAACCCTACTCTAAACAATATCATTCTCTGTTTATTAATACCTCCTGATCAATATTTCTTAACATGCTACACAAAAAAGTAGTAATAAAAGCCAATATGATGTGTATTGATTTTGTATTAGGTAAATATCAGTCATTAGTCCAAGTTATGATATCGTATTGGATCGTAAATGCAAAACCTCTATATCCAATCCAATCCAATCCACTTTATTTATATAGCACGGTTTAAATAAACACAAGGTTTCCAAAGTGCTGCACAAAAAGATAAAATAACTAAAATAAATAAAAGTAATAAAATAAAATAAAATAAAAGCACTGCCCGCACAGGATAAAAATATGCATGTGTATACATAAAATCAACATGTGTACATAAAATCAACACTCTACATGGTGTTAAAAGCCAAAGAAAAGAGGTGGGTTTTAAGAAGAGTTTTAAAATGAGACAGAGAGGTGGCCTGTCTAATGTGCAGCGGCAATGCATTCCAGAGTTTTGGAGCTGCAACAGAAAACGCTCGATCCCCTCTGAGCTTAAGCCTTGCTTTAGGCACCGTCAGGAGCAGCTGATCAGCTGACCTGAGAGATCGGCTGGGAGTGTAGGGGTGCAGAAGCTCAGAGAGGTAAATTGGGGCAAGGCCATTCAAGGCTTTAAAAGTAAATAAAAGAATTTTAAAATGAATCCTAAAATGGATGGGCAGCCAGTGGAGTGAAGCTAAAACAGGTGAAATGTGCTCGTACTTGCGTGTGCCAGTTAAAAGACGTGCAGCAGCATTTTGAACCAGTTGAAGACGAGCAATTGAGGACCCAGCAATCCCCACATAAAGTGCATTACAGTAATCCAGCCGAGTGGTCACAAAGGCGTGGATTACTATAGGGAAACGCTTGAACAAAAAATGCTTTAAAGGAATATAAACTTCAAAATTAAGCTCTAAAGTCCTACAAGATGATCAAAACTTGCCTCGTGGCTCTAAGCCACGAGTCAGATTTATACCATCATTTTCCATAAACTTCCTTCCTATTCAGAAACAGAGAGTTTTGAACAATAATGTTCCCTGAACAGCTGCTCCCAACCTTGTCTTCCTGAACAGCTACATAGACTTAGACCAGGGGAGGGAAACTCCAGTGCTGGAGGGCCTTTATCCTGGAACTTTTAGATAAGTCCTTGACTTAACACACCTGAATCGAGTAAATAGATAATTAAAAGGACTCTGGAGAAATTGATGGCATACTGGGGAGGTAATTCAACCATTTGATTCAGGTGTGTTGGACCAATGATGAATCTAAATGTTGCAGGAAACCGGCCCTCAAGGACTGGAGTTGCCCAACCCTGACTTATACTTTTATTGTTCTTTTGTATATGCAGAGTGTATAAAAACGACATTTCCTTGTGTACAGCTTTTAGAAAATTCCCATTCCTTAAAGTGCAGGAGTGATCAAATGTAAATAGTGTGGGGAGGGAAAAAAAAAACGTATTAAATGACAAACGACATGAATGCATCTGATGTAAAACCCAATCCAAGCCTAATCATATCAACTTTTAATTACATCAATAATTCATCTGCTAATCAGGTCCTTTTCCTCATCAATAGCAAGCCCAAACATGTCTGCTAATTGATCAGGAAGCAGCGGTGAGGAGTAAACAAATCAAGTCAATGGAAGAAAGAGAGAAGCTTGCAGATCCCAACTCTGCCAAATTTCCACAGCTCGATACAGTCAATCACCAGGCAGCACGAATCCATTACTGCTTCATTTCCTCCCAACCCTGCTTGTGGCCTTTGAGAAAATCCCACAGAACAATCAGACCGCATCAGGACGAGCGGCCCCCCATCCCCCCCCATCATCACCACGCTCATTTCCTGTCTGCTGACAACATAATCTCCCCCTTCAACTCGCTCCTGACATTCATGTCTACATCTATGACACAAGATTGCTTTTTATTCAGAGCTCAATAAGCCTCCAGAGTGACCCTCATGAGACGGGTTTGGCAGCTGAAAGTGAAAATCGTCACAAAACAGAGCATCACAGAATATTCAATTTGCCACCTGAAGATGCCATCTGAGTGCAGGCAGTCAGTCAGAGGTGTTTCCCCCGAGTGAAAGATGCTGCTGCTGGTTTTTATATTTCCCACCAGACAGGTGGACTTTCTTATCTTTAACACACTCTTTATCACCAGCTCTCCAAGGATTTTAGAGGTTTTATTCTAAGCTTTTTTCTGTGACTTTTTTTTTTCCATTTGCAGTCATTCCTATTTTCTGAGGAATGCCTTTAAGCCACTTACCTCTAACCCCTCCAATAATTTAGACATTAAAAAAAAAATCTGTCTGGATCCTAGAATTTTGTTTCAGCATGGTCCAGACAAAGCTATTTCAATTCTTGGGCCTCTTTTCTGCAGATTAAAGTTAAGCGACAAATGGAGCAGGGTCTAGTTTAGACCTGAAACAATTAATCAGATTAATCATGATTCATTTATTAATCGATTAATCGTTCACTGGAGTACAGAGTCTTAAAACATGCCTTAAGTTGACAGAGCAACCGTCTTAGAGCAGGAATTAATTCAAAACTGTAAAAAAATATGTAAACATTTTGCATTTAAGATTAAAAAACCATTTTCTACTGTCAATATGCTCTATCCAGAACTCCTCAAGTGGAAAAGTTTTAGTTTCATCGGCTTAGTGTCATAAAAAGTCTACTTTAAAGAACCTTTGGCTATCCGATTATTAATCGATTAATCGAAAAAATAATTGACAGATTAATCTATTTGCTAAATAATCGTTATTTTCAGCCCTAGTCTACGGTAGTTAAACAGATGAAAAAGCAGCTAGAGAAAAAAAAAATGTTGCTCAAGGAATTCATAAAAAGATCAACATAAAGTCTGGCTTCTTAATTAACCGTCTGAAAAGGTAGAGAGAAGATTAACCATCTGGTTACAGATTAATGCCCAAGCTCCCAATGAAGATAAATAAGTATAACACTGAACGCAGCTTCCATTTCTGCTCATATAAGCAGAAAGATCAACATAAATAAAAAGCAGAAGGATGGAGATGAAAAACATGTCTTTATGCTTTAATGTAGGCTGTGGTTTGTAGCTGTCAGAGATTTGGGGCTAATCTCCTCAGCACCGCGGGACAAAGCCATCTGTTTGTTACTGTGAATTAGCTGAAGGAGCAGACTTCAGCTTAAATAAGCTGCAATGAAGTTTAAACCAGAAGAATTCGCCCAGAAAGAACAAAAACAAGAGAAAAATAACCAGAAACAAGATCAGAAAACTGCAGCAAGATGTGCAACACATAAAATAAGCGCAAAACGTTTGACATTCCAATAATTTTCCTTATTTACGGCTATTAATAGGACAGTTAAAGTATTTTCATAACTTATTGATCAACGTTTAATTGATTTTTGAACCTGAATTTAATATAATACATAAAGTCAAACAAAACTAAATGAGCAAAAAGCATATCTGCATATCTGCATTTTTTAATGAATGGTGCCGCTTCTAAACTAATGAAGCATTGCTTCATCTGCTGTGTCACATGAAGGAATCCCTCCAGTATGCCATGCTGAAGAACGAGCTGAGAATCAACTGAAAGATGTCCAGATATCATGAGATGTGGATAAAAACCAGGATAACAAGATCCTGGAAGCAAACAGCTGAGCTCCATCTGCAGGATGACTCAGAGTAGATGGAGAGCTAATTCCTCCATGGAGAGCTGCTTTGGTTCTGGTATCTAACAAGGACACTACAGAAGGTTTTCTATGGGCCAACGGGAGGAGATTCTGGGTCTGAACCAAAACCTGCTGACTGGACTGTGCATTTGGTCGAGTCTAAGGAAGCCTTGGAGTTAACTGAAGGAGCAAGAGAGAGGCAAGGAAGGAAGGAAGGAAGGAAGGAAGGAAGGAAGGAAGGAAGGAAGGAAGGAAGGAAGGAAGGAAGGAAGGAAGGAAGGAAGGAAGGAAGGAAGGAAGGAAGGAAGGAAGGAAGGAAGGAAGGAAGGAAGGAAGGAAGGAAGGAAGGAAGGAAGGAAGGAAGGAAGGAAGGAAGGAAGGAAGGAAAATATCTCATAATCCTATGCTGTGATGATAACATGATATCACACATAACAGCATAATACGAACACTAATCTATATTTCTTTAGTAATTTTAATCTAAAGTAGAAAACATAACCTGACCAAGACTGTTTCTGTGTAATTAAGCTGTTAAATTCCTAGATCTTTATTTGCAAAGGTACACTAAGCATATATAAAGTAGAGCTGAAAACCAAACTGAATCCTATAACTAATGACTGTAATATCACAGTTCCAATAGAACAGCTGGACGCATCACATGAGGTCATAACATTTCAAGAGCCACAGGTTAAACATTTATATTTAGCTCAATAGGAATTCAGTGACTCTGACACTGAGTGATTAGGAAGATGATTATAAGGAGAACAGAAAACATGGTTTATTCCAAACTGGTTTTATCATCTTGTGGCATTAAAAAACACTCCCCAACTAAACCTGAACGTGTTTCTGAATGGCCAGATTTAGACATAACTTTACTAAACTAGAGGGGCTGAAAATGTGGCTTTAGATGCTTGTTTTTATTAGTATTGATGCCTGCCATCCAGTCACTGTTTACAGCTTGTAACAACTGACGTGCTCTAAAATGCTCTAAATAAAAAAATGTTTTAAAAAGCAGAGAAAGTAGAAAACAGTATAAATGTATAATGTTTGGAGACATAGATGTGCTGTTTTGTTGAGTCGGGGTATGAACACAGTTCTTCATGTTCTTTAAAGTTCACTGTTTCAGCCGTGTGTCCAGCTTGTCGATGTCTTACCGATGGCGGTTTCCGGCATGGCAAAGAGCGTCTTCTCCGTGGCGACTCGATACCTCCCATGAACCGACAAACCGACGCCCTGCGAAGAAGAAAGCAAAGTGAAATAAACTAAATAACAAAATTAGAGTCTCATGCTGATCGAAGTGAAAACTTTTACATTAAATTCCCCTTAAAAACTATGAACTTCCTCATAAATTAAAAGAACAGAAGGTTTATTAAATTGAGATTTGAGGCTTTTCAGAATGTTAGAATCCATTTAGCCTTGACAATGCATCATGCCTGTTACTTTTTAATTTTCCTCTTATCTTTAAAAAGAAATCCCCATCAGATATCCTCCAACTGTATTGTTTTGGGCTTTTTTTTGTCCTTTCATCATCTGTTCATACTTTTTTCAGCATTAAAATCCCTAATCTGTTGTCATTGAGAGGACAGAACCCAAGATAAAAGAAAAACCAGCCGAAAAAAACCTTAGAAATGGTGACCAAGAGCACTAACTACAAGACAGGTCTGGATGTAAGGAAGGAAAACATGAAGAAATGACTCAGGACTTTTCAAACCCTTGTTCCTAAATCTCTCCTGGACTGTTCAGCTCCATAACGGACAGCTCCTGGATTAAAGCGGACAGGGAGACTTAATCTTGCTGTTAGTCAGCAGCAAACAAGACGAGCAGCGAATGGAAGGCCTGGTTCTGTTTGACGCATGAGCAGAGAGGATTCAAGATATCAAGAGAGTAAATACAGTGAAGAAATCTGGAGGCCAGTCCTGAGGAATATGAAGTCAACTTAACGCCACATTTTGAGAGGTTATGGGTCTTAATTAGAATCTGGTTCCTTCATCTGGACCAGCTAAGAGCTGATGCTGCTTTAACAGTGAAAACAGGAAGAGCTGCTGATGCTGACCAACATCAGTCCAGCTGAACTGCTGCAGGAGAAAAACCCAATATTTGTGTCCTGAGTTCAAAACTGTTCTGAGCAAAATCAAACTGGGCACGTATTGGGAAGCCAGCAGGGGGCCCCAAGAGCTGTTACATTTTCTTCTTTCCTTTATTTACCCACACAAAGTTTTTTTTTTTTTCATTAGATTAATTCGGAGACCAAAGTGAAAAAGAAATCTAATTTTAAATTATAAATCCAAACAATTTAAAACCTTGTATTTAAATAATTTACTACTGTAAACAAGTATCGCTATCAGTCCGATAACAAGAACTGGGCCGACTTCAACAATCAATCCTTGTGTTGGTCGTGTGCTATTTGTTTGGTCATGTGACTGTGATGCAGGGTAGGATCTGTTTAACTGAAGCAGAGATGCAACGTCAACAAAGTGAGCGCTTTTTCAGTGTCGAAAAGGGTCTGGAAATAGAAAAACAATATATATATAGTTTAATTATTTTTATTTGAATGTTTTATTCTATATTCTATTTTATTCACCTAAAATCTTTAGTCCAGCGAACATTTACTCTGTATTTTTAAACCAGTTTTGAAGAGTTATAGCTTTTGGCAAAATCTGGTGCATTTGCAGGAATACTCATTAATGTACAGTTACGGTATGTTTAGAATCTGGTCAGGCTGTTAAGTGCCGCAGTGTGTAGCACTGCTGCCTTGCAGCAAGAAGGTTCTGGGTTCCAATCCTGGCCTGGGGTCTTTCTGCATGGAGTTTGCATTTTCTCCCTATGCATGCGTGGGTTCTCTCCGGGTACTTCTGCTTCCTCCCACAGTCTAAAAAAATGACTGTCAGGTTTATTAGCGTCTCTAAATTCTCCTTATGGTTGTTCGTCCTGTTTGTCTGTGTTGCCCTGGTGACCAGTCCAGGATGGACCCCACCTCTCACCCATAGACAGCTGGAGATAGGCACCAGCACCCCTCAAGACCCCAGTTGGGATAAAAGTGATGGAAAATGGATAGAATTTGGCAGCCTTTAATAATAAAAAATAATTAAAAAAAAATTCTCCCTTGTTTCTTTCAACTAACTTTGGGTCTGTTAAAAATCTGTGAATGTTTGTGCTAGAAAATAAATCCACAATGAAATCCTGCTAAAGCACCATACTTTTTGGAACAGAAATCTTCAACAGGAAAAGATCAGTTCATATAACAATCATAAACAGCATGAGTCGATGAAAACTTCTAACAAAAACATCTGAATCACCTAAACAAAAATCAGAATTGGTTCAACAGATACGTTAGCATACAGAATCCATGTTGATCTCAATCTGATTTAGATTAAAACATCTGCTAATCATAAAGTGTTTCAGTCATAATGATTCTAAATGATCAGATTTGTGTTGAGGTCCATCCTAAAATATTTGTTGTTTAAAAAGGGAGATAAAAAAGATAAAACAAACAAAAAAAAAATTCTGTATTGATCTGGTTTTAAACCTTTCCTGGAAAAAGGAATTTTCTGTGTTGTGCAATAAGCAGAGGAGACTTTTTAAAAGGAGCCCAAACATCAGTGGGATATTCAGGCACCATATAAGGACACATTTCGTCTCCCTCATAAATAAAAAGATGGAGGAACGTTCTCGTATCTCCTGGATTACTGCTGACTGAAACTCTAAAAGCAAGTCCTTAGGAACAGTACCAGGATCAGATTCCAGGAAGGCTCTTTCTAACGCGGACACAGACTCCAGGAATACGTGACATCTGTTTGAAAGCAGCTCTCAGTGTTTCCTTTCAGCATCAGCTCTGCACAGACTCTGCAGATGACAAACTTCACTCAGACTCCGGCCTCAGGCTGCGCTTTGGCACCGGCTCCTCGTCGTTGTGTCATCAGGCGACGTGGATGTGATGAAATCAGAAATCTGTTGCCCAGAGGTCAAAGGTCACGGCCACATAGCTCTGGACAAACATCCATCAAACATGCAGCTGCAGCTTTATGACCCGGTTACATCAGAGGGACGAGGTCCGATTAACGCTCAGACTGTGTCTCTGAGCTCCTGATGACTCGACCCCCCCCCCCCCCCCCCCCCCCCCCCCCCCCCCACTCTGACGGTCTGTTAGGAGACATAGCGTTATGTGAGGGTCTGTGCTCCCAGCATGGAACCCGTCTGGGAGAAAGGGACTCTTGCCTGGTAGACTTTTCCAAATTTAGAACTGGTCTGTTTCAGTTCAACAGCAGCGATCACCCTGCGTCAACATCAGCATCGCTTCAGCGTTGACATGCCCAACGAAGAAGTGACCTCAGGAGGCTTTATTACAGGCGCAGAGGATCCCAGCCAGAAATATTATTCATTACAAGTGGAAGCTCTGAATGTTTTCTGATGGGAGGAGGATCAGTGTCTGGGCTGCATGCCTCACATTCAGGAATGTCAAACCACTTTTTATGTTTATCCTAAAAAAAATAAAACATTCTGCAGCTTCTGAAAGAAAACTAATTAAACTTCTCATTCTGACAGTTAGAAACTTGTTTCTTTGGGTCAGTTATGCTGGTTTAAAAACCAAATTCCACTCCTGAATGAAGAATTCCAGCAGCAGCAACAACATTTAGACACCTCTAATTTCCTCCAATCAGAGGCCAACCTTTCCCCTGGCAGGAGATAACTGAGACACAAAGATCTTTACTGACACCTAGTGGCCTATTTTATCATCACAGCTTGTTCACCAAAAATTTATATATATTTTTTTGGTGAACAAAACAAAATATTTGTAATCTTTATATTAAACTAATCAGGATTCATTAAATAAAGCCAAAACAAAGAGAGTTAATCTCACCCCTCCCATCGTTATCCCATCAATTATGGCCACATATGGCTTCTTGTATGTTCCTGACAGGATGAAAAAGACAAAAAAATAAACATCAGAAGCTAAAAAAGCTCTGCTTTTCTGCAGTGTAGTAATGAGGTACATTTATAAAACAATCTGCTTATCTAAAACATATAAACATATTTTATAAATAGCAGAATATGAAATGCTAAAGCACACCTATTGCGTTGTTCAGAAGATATTCCTCACGAAAGAAGTCCTGCGCCAGCGAACCGCCGACCTTTCCTGCTTCTGTGACCGCTGGGAATAAAAAACAAACAGAGAAACCCGGCAGGATGAAGGGAAATATCCTGGGAAAGAAACGGTGACTGAACCTGGAGGTCGACCTCTCACCTCTAATGTCTCCTCCGGCACAGAAGGCTTTCCCACCCGCTGCTTTGATGATCACAATGTCTGTCTCAGAGTCATTTTCCCATTTCTGGAAAAAAAAAAAACAAATAAAAACACAAAAACTCATCAGTAAATCATATAAAAATGTACATATTATTAGAAGTTAGAGTAATATACAAGCAATCAACCAATCAGAGGGCAGGTTAATATATTTAATCAAATAGCTTCAGTGCTGAGCTGATTGACCTGAACTGATTTTGTTGCTAAAAGCTGCAGCTGAATCTTCTGTTTTAAGATTAATATTAAATTTCTCTTTAGTCCATAACTGCTATGCACAAAAACACTTTCTAGAGACCTTTGCAGCTCATATTTCTGAGACATTCAACCAGAATATTGGAGTTTTTAAAGGGAGAAATTTTGAGAAACTGCAGCTCATTTTGAAGTTGTTTAACCCAGCTGTATTTGGGGGTGAATGAAAGATTTAGTCTTATTTTAGGGTAAAACTTTGGATAATGTATGTTAAAGCATTCCATAATTTCCCCTACAGAGTAACTCAGTGTCTATATGAGCAGATTCCAGGTCTGTACGGACATGTATGTTAGTAATTTAGCCAGATGAGTCTCCAGTTGCTGGAAACTTCACTCTGACACCTTTTACTTGGCTTCATTCAGAGGACTGGAGGCTCAATCTCTAAAACTTAAACCATCAAGACCTTCCTGCATGTCAGGAACTAAAAAAATCAGCAGTGATTGGTTTGGAATGAACATGATGGCAGGTTGGTGCTAATATGCTGAAAAATAATCATTGCGTTACTAGAGAGGAAAACCTAAAAAGCATAAAGACGACCAGAATCTGTTTAGATTTTTTGGCAGCAGAATCATCAAATAATGAGCAATAAAAGAGAGCTTGGTTTTTCGACAGTTTTTCCAAAATCAGTCCAGATTTTTACAATGAAAAACAACTTTAAGCACACAACAAAAAAAAAAAAACATATGACAGATCCACTCTGTGCTGACATGATGATAACAAGAGGGTTAAAAACAGACAAAGAAAAGAAGAATGTCTAAACTGTGTATTTTAAGTCATAATATTATTTTCTGTAGAACTATTAATAATAGAAGTTCTGGAAATCCGGCAATTTTAGAATATAGTTTTTATGAACCAAGACAGAAGGAGAGAAACAAATAGTTAATAGACCAAGTAGATTGTCTTTTGGCTAATTAATGAATAATTTAAATATGTACAGTTCTTTACTTTATTTTAGACAAAATATGATGAATGAATAAAAATGGTTCAATTTGGAGAATTAAACTAAGCTCAGAGTATTATCTAATGACTCTGAATCAGTTCATTTTTAACCTTTTTATATCTAGTTTCCAACTTGTTTGACCTAAAATGTGCTGCAAAAGTTCCAAGTTTCTATAAGAAACCTGTAACAATAGAAAGATTCATAGAGGTTTGTGTGGCGCTGCAGGTTTGTAGATGAAAGAGTCGCTGGCAGCACAGATACAGGAGGCAGACTAGGGAGAGGACTGAACTCTAGTCTTAAATTAGCATTCACTTCTAAAAAAAAAATCACATTTTTCAGCAGGAATTGATTTAAGGGGCTCTAGATCAACAGTTACTCATCTGTTACAGAGGCTTCACCTGCTCTTATAATCAGTGACTCACTAACCTGTGAATCCTACACAGAAAAATGCTCCTACACTCAAAATATGAAGCACAGCACATAAAGAAATTACAAACTTAAAACTGTAACCTTCAAACCGTCTTCTTTCATTAAGTAACTCAATGATAAATTCCTAGAGTTGACACAGTTTAACAGACAGACAGAACTTTTGGCTGAAAACTTGCCTTAAACTGCATGAGGCTGCAACTTAAGTCCAAAAAATTGTTAAATTCACTTCAGAGAGCCCGGAGGCACTGAGTCGACCTTTAAAAAGATCTAAGGAAGTCTGGAAGCTTGGAAGGAGAATCTAAAGGAATCAGGCCTAAGCGCCTTATGTGCAACACATTTATCCAAACCCAGTTTTTAAACGAAACTGTGAGGATCTGTAAATATAAACATAACCAGCATCTTTGTGCCAATGAAGCCGTGCATGTCTCATGTCAGAAAAGATGTTTCAGTCCACCTTGAGCTGAGGGTAGATCTGGCGGATCATGCTCAAGTTGAGGGCGTTGAGGACTTTGGGTCTGTTCATGGTGATCACAGCAGCTCTGCCTGCTTTCTCCAGGAGAACCTCTGGTTCCACGTGACTCGACATCTGGAAGGAAACAAAATTATTTCACCCTCATGCTTCATGACCCGACATCACTTTATATTCTGAGCTCAGGGGGCTGGAAGCAATATATTTAGTTAAATTGTTATGATAAAATCCTCAGGTCCACTAACTCCAGGTATATACAAACATACCAATGTTTTTAATTAATTTTTTTGTTTTATTTAGAGTTTTTCTTTCATTCATTGTATAAAAAAATAAACAAATATAAAAGCAACAATTCTAAAATCCTGAATGAAAGGGAACAGAAAGAAGAATAATCTATTATCATTTGCTCCCTTTACTTAAAGCAACATTTACAAAGAACTCAAATTATGAAAGACTCAACAGCAACAAAAATAAGCATCAAAACATACATAACAAATAAAGGATAATGAAAATAAATATCTGTTCTCCAAAACTTTAGGTCTATTTTCTGTATATTCTTAAAGCATAGAATTGATTTTATGCTGATTCCTTTCACAGAAATACAACACTCCATCAATTTTGTACTAAATTTGGATTTCCTATTATGCAAAAACACTTTTAATCATGATTTAGATGCTTTACTTAATTCACTTTTAGAATAAAATAAGCCAAATCAACCCTAGTGATAAAAATGCAGCTGACTTTTCAACATGGATGAAGACTAAAATCCTCTAAACCATGTTTTCTGTCTCCTAAATCCCCAAACTAGGCTTTTCTTTCTGGTAAAAGGTTGTTTTTCTTTCTAATATTATCACATACTTTCTCATAGTTAGGGAATGCTGCAAAGCTAAAAGGGCTCCTTAAATAATGACATCTGAAACTGATCCAATCTGCATTAGACTGATTTTATTATTTAACCATTCTTTATGATTGGGTCGTACTGGTTTTCAACTTGTTCCCTAGAGATGACATCTGTTGCTTCTTATCCATATATAGACATGATTATTGCAACTGCAGATATATGGAGCCCTTTAATAGAACTATAAAAAATGTTAACAGTATTTTACTCTAGGGATCTAATTCTTCCTACTCAAGCTCCAGTTTATGATAAACATGCATCAAAGTTTCAAACTCACACTTTTTTAGTCTTTTTCAACAAACTTCAATCAGTAAACTGACCAGTAATATGATGAAGGTTTGGAACAAAGGTTTTTATACATCAATCATGTCCTTCATTTTGCAAATAATTGTTTTTTAATGTGAATTGAATAAAAATGTATACAATATAGAGGAAAAGTGGAGCAAAGGAGGAAAATGTGCATGAAGTATATGAAGTGCATCCATGATGATGAAGGTGATGATGAAGCATAGTTCTCAGAGCGGGTCATTAAAGCCTGATCTGAAACTCACCATGTGAGCCTGGATCCGCTGCAGTCTGCAAAGAGGCTTTAGTCTGAAGGAAACAGTGAAGAGATAGAAGGATTATTAAACAGGTGGCACATTAATAACTGTGTTACTGAATTGCTATTTTTTTTTTCCTTCTTGTTTTACTTCTTACATCAGCTAAAGGACTTTACAACCCAGGACCCATTATTATGTGAATGGTAAAGCTTGAACCAACAAACCTGTGAGCTATTCTAACATAACCTTGAACCTGGTCCTAAAATTAGCTGATAGATCTTTATCCCCTGTCTGCCTGAACCTTGTGACCTTTTTACCATCTTTTCACAATGACCCCTGGTGGTAATATTAAGAGATAATGTACAGAATCAGGTGTTAGCATCAGTTTAAAAGTTTAGGGGGACGAGACGTAATCAGAAAATATTTTGGCTGCTCCAGACTGACTGGATGATCTGCGATGCTAAGCTACATTTTACACTTTAAAACGTTTGTTTTTTTTTTCTGGTTTTGCGGGTAAAAAATGTCTCCGGTTCAAAGGTCGCCCCGTTGTGACTCTATTTCCTCTGGACTAACATCAGCTTCCGCTACCAAATCATACCTGCAGGCAGAAGTCAGAACCGTTAGTGGCATTATTATAATGGTGTGATCAGTTCAGCGTGGCCAGAAGCTGCACTTTCACTGAACTCCCTGTTACACTGTTTACTTCCTGTTTGACGTCGGCAAACTGCCGCTGATTGGCGGGCGCTGCGAGTGCGCCATACTGCCATCTACTGGTGGGTAGATAGAATACATTTGGTATTAGAAAGCGATGATTTAGAAAGCTGACTTTGAAATACATTTTTTTAATGAATGTATCACACATTTCAGTTTATCGGGAAAGATAAAACATTAGAAATATCTAAATTATAATATAAACTTATTTTATTTAAGAATCTTATCAAATTTAAGAACTGCACGTGTTGTGTGACGTTCTATAAATACTATACACCATGCCTACATTAAAAATTAAAAATCTGTTTAAAAAGAGAGGAAAGTTATAACCTGAGAAGAAAATGTATTATATATTTTTTGTTCATAGTACTCTTAAAGCTATGCACATATCAGTTTTTGGAGTGATTCTGCAGAATAGCTTAGAACATGAAATTTAGCAAAGTAAAAATATTGCAAAATTGAATAGAAAATGTTTGCAGAATATAAATAATATCTGTTAAAAAGAGAATGGGATACAATTTTATGATAGATAGATAGATAGATAGATAGATAGATAGATAGATAGATAGATAGATAGATAGATAGATAGATAGATAGATAGATAGATAGATAGATAGATAGATAGATAGATAGATAGATAGATAGATAGATAGATAGATAGATAGATAGATAGATAGATAGATAGATAGATAGATAGATAGATAGATAGATAGATAGATAGATAGATAGATAGATAGATAGATAGATAGATAGATAGATAGATAGATAGACATCTCAGCTTAAAGACTAGGCTGGATTAGCAGCTCCTTCCTGCTCCCTTTTTTACAGATGTTCTGAAATTCCTTTTTTAAATAGTTTGAAGTGAAATACTATTTAAAAAAAATAAATTCGAAATGAATTATTAATTGAAGTCTCCATTTATTTTCAATATTAATTCATTTCTCTGCTCCCAGGTGTTTGCTGCAGCTTTCTGAAAGGCTCCATCACAGCATTTCAGTTTAGTTTAGGTTCAGCTGCAATGTTTGAGATTGTTCTGTTAATAATAATCCAGTTTGGATAAAGCTTCATCTGTCAGATAGATGGCTTCTTATGTGATTATGGAATGTTATATATTATATAGTGGAGTTCATGTTCCACTTGGTGAATGTGAAGAGCTCAGGTCCTGTCGTTACAAAAGAAGCCCAAATCAACAGCCCACCACCACCATACTTTCGGTAACTTTCTCTAAGTGGGTATAAGGTGTTTGTAGTTATCGACTGTGACTGTATTTTTTTTTCTAAACATGCTTATGAGCATTATGACCAAATATCTCTACCTTGTTCCCATCTGCCAAAAGAACATTATCTGATAAGAATTGAACTTCAGCAAGATGCACCTTTTTTGTGTTGCATATGTTTTTCATAGATATAAATCCTGGATATGTTTTTCAGGGAAAAAAATCTTTGTCTCTGTGGTTTGTTGAACTTCAGAGAGTTTGCAAAGGCCATAAACCCTTCAGAGGTTTATGAGCAGCAAATGTTGTGTCTTTTAATATTATTAATAATAACTGTCCACTTTGAGTTGAGTTTTAAATACATCATTATGCTTCAGAGGGGTCAACTTATAAAATCTTATTTCATAGAGGCAATTATACCGATTATTCTCAGGTGTTCTGTGAATTCATGGAGCAGTGTTCAGTTGCCTGTAGCCACATGTCTATACTGTATTTATTTAACAAAGGGAACTTTGCCCTGACACCTGGTACTAATTACACAATTTAAACTTTATTTCCCGAAATTTTAACTTGATTTATGAGTCAGAAGTAAAGCTTTCTTACAAAATATTCCCATCATCAGGCTTTAACCTCAATCTCTGCAAACACTTGAACTTTCCCCCTTAATGCATGACTGCAAGTACATTGCATCAGGGAATTTTGCAATAATGGTTTGTGTTTCCTGCTGTATGAAACAGAAGAATAGTTATGGACAAAAACATACTTTAGTAGGTAGATGGTGTGAGTTGTTGATATGATGTGTTTAGTTTTCTCCAAACAGCCGCAATGCATCGTGGACAAATATCTCAACCTCAATCTCAATCTCAACCACTGCTGCACACAGTGACTAAGTAGCACTGTGGCCTTTGAATCAGAACAGTTAGCTCTGATCTTTGCATTTGTATTCAGTGAACAGTGATTACAGATTCAGCAGCTCCAGCAAACAATTTACCACTGGACCATGGTGCACCTAAATGAGTTTAAACCAGTTTTATTGGTGCAATAGATAAGGAAACTTTGACCTTTAAGGTGAACCTGTGTAAAAGGGCGTTTCTTGCTGCTAGCAATCAGTTGATTGTACAGGTTATCAAAACAGAAATATTGCAGCAGTAGAAAGAGGGTGTGATGATCTACTTTGTGTTGTGCAAGGTCATCACGAAAAAAAAGAAAGACAGAGAGACGGAATAATAAACATAATAAACTAACTCAGAAAAAAAGCCAAGAAACATGATTTACATCAGTTTTGTTTTCATTTTATTTTGAAGAAATCTACATGTTTCACATAATAAAAGCTGACAAGTTCTGAGGAGTCATTTTTCTAGCAGGAGGATTTTTTTAATTGACAGCATCTGTACGCTGCAAATACCTAAGATTAAACTCAGAAGCAGAAGAGAGTTGAAGGACTAGAAATGATGGTTCTTCTACATGAAAGAAGTTTTCCATCTAGTCGGAGTCGCTGCTGCTGCTGCTGCTGCTGGAGGCCTAAGAGAAACACATAAAATAAGGAACCACATTGCTTAGCTTGAAAAGTTCTCAAGCTTTATTAGGTCTGTTTTTTCCCACAGAGTTAGATCTAAACATATGCATTTTGCAGAAGAGCTTTTTTTTTGCCATTTTGTTTGTATCTTGTTACAGAAGCATAAAAAAGAAAATCTTCTTACCCCATGACCGTCCTTCCCCTTCTTATGCTTATGCTTGTCCTTATCCTTGTGCTTGTGTTTTTTCTTATCCTTGTGTCCATGACCATGGTGGTGACCATGATGCGGGTCTTGATAGTGTCCGGGTCCAGGACCGTACCCAGGTCCTGGTCCGTGTCCAGGATGTACTGGATGTACAGGATGTCCAGGATGTATTGGATGCACAGGCTGTCCAGGATGTATTGGGTGCACAGGCTGTCCAGGATGTACAGGATGTCCTGGATGTCCAACTACAGGAGGACAGTTTGACATCGGTGGAGGAAAAGCAGGGTTAGCACCTGGCATCTCCTGAGGTTGGTTGGGGAACCCTCCAGGGAACTGGTTCCCTTAACACAAAAAAAGGGGCAAGTTCAGTCCGTGCACATTACAAAAATAAATGATAATCAGTTTGATGAGAGGCTGGGCTTACCTTGATTCTGGCCGTACATTCTGAGAAATCTGCTGAAATGACAGATTCTGAAATGGAGAAAGCATGTATTTCAGTGAGGTTTGTGATGTTTAACATGAAGAATTGACCCAAACAGAAGTGCTTTCATACCTGGTTCCAGAAGATCTCCTGATTCTGCTTAAACCTTCAGTCTCTTTTATCGTCTGCTGCACCTTTATTTCAGGAGGTCCTCATCAAAGTACCAGGGCAGGTCTTTACTACCTACATGACCTACATGAGATCTGGTGTAATAATTAACTTTAACAGTCTGCTGGGTGGAGGTAAACCTTCTTCCTACTTAGTTCAGTGTCCGTTTTTTATTTAATTTTAGTTTTAGTCCCTTGGATGTTTTTAAATTCCTGCTTCCCAGAGCAAACAACTGTATTACTTAAAAAAAAAAAAAACTCTTTTAGCAAGATGCACCTCAGCCTTATGCTTTTAGAAGCAAGCATCAAAGCCTTAAGCATCGTTCTGGTTGATATTTTACTGCGCTAATCTTCCTGCTCTATTACTCCATGGATACGTGGGCAACACCCAGAATAGATCTCCAGTCTACCACAAGAAAACACAGAGACACAACAGACAAACAACCATGGAAACACACAATGTAAAATATATGGAAACCAATGAGCATTTTTTCTAGATTGGGGCAGTACCAGAATACAACCATACATCTATGGAGACATCATGGAAACTCCCTGGAGAAAAGCCGCAGTCTGGTATTCAAACCAAAGATCATCTTGTTGCAAGTTAACAGTGCAACTAAATGTACAACTACTCCTTCAAACATACTCCTCATCATTGTGTAGAAACAACTCTGTCTTTGTCCCATCAGACCAACAAACGGTTCTTCGTTTGGCTCCTCAATGTGGACCGTTGCCTCCTTCAGTCCAAATCTAAAGGTTTGGATTTCTGAGCTTGAACATCTTTTCTTGTTCTACATCCTCTCAGACTGTAGTGATGTTAAACTGCCATTACTGGGATCAGTTACAAAGGTGTTCTACCACTTTACGAGCATTCAACTGAAAATCCGATTTTAGGACAGCTTTGCAAAAAATCTGAGCCCAGCATGTAAATGTATGGATGATGATTAAACTCCAGTAAACTAACCAGTTTGAATCAACTTAAAATAGAGACTTAAAATAGGAAATGTCAATGTATAAGATTGGAAAGCCAAATCATTTGAATATGTTACTTGTGACGCCACATGACTAATACGTGTTTTGGGCACTGTCAATGTGTTGTCTTCACCTTTTAATTGGTCACACATAGTTAACACACTAAGACCACATAACAACATGTCAACTATGTGTCAAATACACATTGATTTCATGTCATTAAGAGCCGTTCGGTTCAGTTTAAGCTGGTGGGTTTTGGCTCTTTCCCATTACCTAGTAACCTGACTCCGCCAGATGGATTTGCTCCGCATATCCATCTGGAAACCTTCCGTTGCAGAAATTTTGGGAAGGGGCGAAAATACTAATTAGCTGATTGGCCTATGTTGGTGATAGAGGGACCAAATAAACCAATCAGATCAACGAAGCATATGACGTACTAACAGAGCGACGTCGAAAACACAACCACAAGCCAGGCTACTCTTGCCGAAACCAGTTGGGAGAAGAGCAAAAACCACTTTTCCTCTGCGGAAAGCCTCCAGAGCAGTGTTTTGCTCTTCCGATTCCGATAAAACTTGCTCAATAGCCACGCTAACGTTAGTTTCATCGGCTGAAGCCGCCATGTTCTTTAGACTGAACTGTCCCGCTTCTCGTTGCGTCACACCTCAACCCGCCTCAAAGCCAACGCTGATTGGATGTTCGTTTGGTGAACTGCTCCAAATTTTCTTCAATGGAGAGTCTCCAGACTGATTAGAGAGTGAAATCTTGAAAGCTCGCAAGATCAGGATGGTCTCACGAGGCTAATTACCTAGTAAGTAGTAGGGTTAAACCTAGTGGCGGCTGGTGGAGTTTCCTTCAGGCGGGGCTATAAATTCAAAATACCGTAAATTCTCTAATATTGGCCTGTATTCCATTAGCGGCCGGGACTCTAACATTGGCCGGTCTCGCTGTCAGAGGAGGTAAATAATGGCTGGTCTCTAATACAGGCCGGGGCTATAAACTTTTTTCTGGGCATACCTCAACATTATACTTGTGGCAGTAACATACAAGTACCACAGCCCTGCGCTGCCGGACGACAGGCCCTGACTGCTGCCCGTCTGCGCGAGGAAGAGAACAGACACGCAGCAGAACATGAGGAGGAGCGCGAGTGATGACGAGATTAAAGGGAGAGATGAAGAGGAGGAGGAAACTGAGGAGGAGGATTAAACAGAGTTGGAGGATTTTTTTTTTCTTTTTTACTTCAAACCAAGCGAGACATGGTAACTGTACTTTTTCAATAAATGAACCTAGTGTTTTATAGGTTCAAATAGACACAAAATCTCATTTTTATTCATTCCACTGGTAGTCTGTTTTGCTCAAATAGCAATAGAGGCCTGTCTCTAATTCTGGCCTCTTTCCAATAAAGGCCTGGACCGCGATGCACTTGAGTGAAATAAAGGCCCGGGCCTATATTAGAGGATTTACGGTAGATGTATACCAAAAATCAATCAAACGTATCCTAAATTATCACACCAGTAAATTTATAAGAATGCCAACAACAAAAAACATTATTAAAACAAGACATAATTTCATGTACATTTTTATTTTTGTAGACAAATCATGCCCTTCTGACGCTTCGTGAAGGAAAATATGGGTTTTGTATGGTTAAATATTGTGTCACAAACCTAAAAAAAAATAATTATGTACCAATTTAATAATGGAGAAGCTATTAGTTGGCTTTTTCTCTTTTTTATGTATAAAAACTATTTATTTTCCGAGAATGAGTTTATTTAAGAGAAACTATGCAAATTAACAAACATCTAGAAAAAGTTCACATTATATTATATATTTATATAATATAATAATTTATAATAATATTATATATTATATTATTTTCCATGAGAATCCCAGATTGTTCATGCTTCTTTCCCCCTTCTAAAAAGTGCTTTAAATCAGTCCTACCTGTCTTGCTGGATGGATTAAGGCAGGTATGACAGGTATAACCCCAGGTATGACCTGATTAATATATTATATTGAAATATGTGACCAATCCAATGAGGAACGAAACAGTTTTGCTCGTCTTTAAAGATTAAGTATTTATCTTTCACATCTGGAAGATAAACATTTCTTACAAAGGGAAGAAAATAAGCTGATATGTTTCGTTGCTGCAGGAAAACCGCTTACAATAAGAGGTTTAACCCTTCTACTAAGCAGCCAATGGGGAAAAACCTAACACCCACACGCTCAAATTGGCCAACTGGCTGAATGGCTACTAATCAAATAAAATCTAGACAAACACGTTGACAGAGTGCAAACAGCGCACAAAACACAAGTTAGTCACGTGTTGTTTACATGTCAGAAGTCCCCTATTTCTGAAAGAGTTGGCTTTGCATATACACTATATTGCCAAAAGTATTTGCTCACCTGCCTTGACTCACATATGAGCTTAAGTGACATCCCGTTCCTAATCCATAGGGTTCAATATGACGTCGGTCCACCCTTTGCAGCTAGAACAGCTTCAACTCTTCTGGGAAGGCTGTCCACAAGGTTTAGGAGTGTGTTTATGGGAATTTTTGACCATTCTTCCAGAAGCGCATTTGTGAGGTCGCACACTGATGTTGGACGAGAAGGCCTGGCTCTCAGTCTCCGCTCTAATTCATCCCAAAGGTGTTCTATCGGGTTGAGGTCAGGACTCTGTGCAGGCCAGTCAAGTTCATCCACACCAGACTCTGTCATCCATGTCTTTATGGACCTTGCTTTGTGCACTGGTGCACAGTCATGTTGGAAGAGGAAGGGGCCAGCTCCAAACTGTTCCCACAAAGTTGGGAGCATGGAATTGTCCAAAATGTCTTGGTATGCTGAAGCATTCAGAGTTCCTTTCACTGGAACTAAGGGGCCAAGCCCAGCTCCTGAAAAACAACCCCACACCATAATCCCCCCTCCACCAAACTTTACACTTGGCACAATGCAGTCAGACAAGTACCGTTCTCCTGGCAACCGCCAAACCCAGACCCGTCCATCAGATTGCCAGATGGAGAAGCGCGATTCGTCACTCCAGAGAACGCGTCTCCACTGCTCTAGAGTCCAGTGGCGGCGTGCTTTACACCACCGCATCCGACGCTTTGCATTGCACTTGGTGATGTATGGCTTGGATGCAGCTGCTCGACCATGGAAACCCATTCCATGAAGCTCTCTGCGCACTGTTCTTGAGCTAATCTGAAGGCCACATGAAGTTTGGAGGTCTGTAGTGATTGACTCTGCAGAAAGTTGGCGACCTCTTCGCACTATGCGCGTCAGCATCCGCTGACCCCGCTCCGTCAGTTTACGTGGCCTACCTCTTCGTGGCTGAGTTGCTGTCGTTCCCAAACACTTCCATTTTCTTATAATACAGCTGACAGTTGACTGTGGAATATTTAGGAGCGAGGAAATTTCACGACTGGATTTGTTGCACAGGTGGCATCCTATCACAGTTCCACGCTGGAATTCACTGAGCTCCTGAGAGCGACCCATTCTTTCACAAATGTTTGTAAAAACAGTCTGCATGCCTAGGTGCTTGAATTTATACACCTGTGGCCATGGAAGTGATTGGAACACCTGATTCCAATAATTTGGATGGGTGAGCAAATACTTTTGGCAATATAGTGTATATGTAAATCTGTATTTGTGATCCTGTAATCCTATCCAAAAAACACAAACCTTGTTTTTTGACAACCTTTTTTACCTGGAAAATTATCAGTTCCAGTAAATCAAATAAAGCCCGGAATCAAGATGAAAAAAAAAAAACAACATAACGGCAAGAAAAAATCTTTGGAACTGCACTCTGTCAATCCAATGGTATGATTTTGTTCCTAAATGTTTCATATAATGTTTTGCTGAAAAACAACACACAAAAACAGATGCTTTCATTGTTGCCAGGGGAGACAAATTTCTGCAAAATCAGCAATCAACATCTTCAGTTAATATAAAGTTCAACTGTTTTATGTAGAAACCAATCAGCTCGAATTTTACTGCAGATGAAAATTCTGGCATTTGGACTGGAGTGCAATATTTTTAAATGGGCAAACAGTTGCACCCGCGCATTTCTAGGAAAATATGTAATAAATAAAAGATATGGAAATGATGAAAGCTGGAGTTCTACAGGTGAACTGCTGGGTGTGTCAGTGTTTGTGGAAAATGTGAATAAAGGTCGCGATTCACCCGTCCATAGAAACCGAAGTATAATAAAACATCACACCTCTTACTAGAGCAAACAGAGAAACGGAAGTCAAATGAGGTCAGAGGAAGAAGGAGTAAGATAGACTATTTTCCTACTTAAATTCTACAAAAGTCTTTATACCTGTACAACTTCTCTATTTTGTCACTTTCCTTAAAGATCCATGTGCTTTCTTGGGATTTTATAAGGAGTTTGGTTTGCAAATAAACGTCCACCTCCCAGTTTACAATTCTTCTCTACTTTATGTTGGTCCCATAAAATCACAATAAATATACATAAAAGTTTGTGGTTATAACGTGACAAAATCTGTGAAGGTTTAAGGTGTGCAAGAACATATGCAGGACACTGTAAAAATGTATTAAAGGACTAGAATATTTACATGTATTATTTTTAAATCCGTTGATTTAAGTCACCACATTTCCCTTTGATAAAGACAAATTAATATTCATGAACGATCATTTCTGCACATAATGAGGAAAAATTAAAAGAAAATCTCTGGACCAAAAAGACGTTATCAAATTGGGGTTTAATATTCAATTCAATTCAATTCAATTCAATTCAGTTTATTTATATAGCGCCAAATTCACAACACATGTCATCTCAAGGCACTTTACAGTTCAACCAGATCATACAGTCAAATTGATACAAAGTTTTCTATCTAAGGAAAACCAGTTGATTGCATTGACTCATTGACTCAAATACAATCCCCCACACTAAGCATGCTTGTAGCGACAGTGGAGAGGAAAAACTCCCTTTTAACAGGAAGAAACCTCCAGCAGAACCAGGCTCAGTGTGAGCGGCCATCTGCCGAGGCCGACTGGGGTTCAAGGAGACAGAAGCAGAGATACAAAAAGCAGCTGTAAAAGGCGGCCCCGTCCAGGAAACACACAGCCAGGCAGACGAGCTCCAAGGCAGCTCCCATGCCAGAGGACGAAGAGAGCACATCCACTCAGTCACGGTCAGAGAAACAGGACCACACTGGAAAATATGTTCCATATAATAAAAGTAATTTGACCTACAAAGACAAGAGAGATTAGATTAGTTGGTTCCTGGAGCATCGGATCATAAGGGGTAAAAGTAAGACTTTAAGGATGCCCTTTAAATACATTATCAATATCTAAATCTGATCACAGAGTGGGGGTGTATGAGACAAATTGATCGTTTCTTGCAGTTTTGGTCCAGCATGAGTTCCATAGAGGCTCAATCTCAGAATAAACTGCAACTGATATAATCCTGAAGGTACAACATCAGGAAATCTGAGCTTTCACTGTGAATACATTTTTATATTTACATTAAAGAGTGGTACGCATTTCCAATGCAACTCGGAACTCTGTTGATCTGACTTGGATGTAAGTCATGGATCAACATTATCTGAAGTCAGACTGTCTCATTTTTACTGCTGAATTATTTTTGCCTGTTTGCATAAGATTAGTCAATTTTGAGTATTTCCATGTATTGTCTGTTCTGCAAAGGCAACTTCTATCATTTTAAGAAGTCGAGGTTTTTCACGTGAACTTCAAGGTTTGCTGATACTTCCCAACACAAAAGGGAGCCCAAGTATAAAAATTTAAATTAAAACAAATCTTTAGGAGAAACTTTAGAATTCTGGATCAGAAGCAGTTTTAAAATCTGCAAGGTTTTAAAAATCTAAATTCATTTGGACAAAATGCCTTACTGTTGAACTAATGAGAGCAAATTGCACCATTCATTTTAACTTTGAAAAGTGAAACAAAACCAATAACACAGAAATCTTTAACTTTTTTGAATTTCATATTTTTTATTTTTAAATCAGTACAATGCAAGAAATCCAGCAATGTTTCATTCTGCTTTTGAAAAAAAAAAAGATCATTTGCATTTATAGAACCTTAAAGGTATTTTTGTGTAAAGCCCATTTTCATTGGGACTACAGACAAGCTTTAGATGTGGAATAAACTGATCGTTGCAGATTATTGGAGCTGAAGATGCTCGTTACGCCTCTGTCTAATCAGAGTCGCTGCTGCAGGAGCTGCTGGAGGACTGCAGGGGAAGAAGAAATAGAAGCAGGTGTTACTACTACACCTAAATCTGACTGTATGATACATCAATATTTACTCACAAAACATTGTCAAGATGTGAAAAAAAATGTATGTTTAGTGCGGAAAGTAACACAATCTCACCGCATGACAGTCCTTCCCTTTCTTGTGGCATTTGCTGTGTTTGTGGCCACCCTTGTGCTTGTGCTTCCCCTTGTGTCCATGTCCATGTTCCTTGCCACCACAACCTCCATGTCCGTGTCCGTGTCCGTGTCCATGACCATGTCCATGACCATGATCATGTCCATGACCATGACCGTGTCCTCCTAAGGGCATTTTTAGAAGAACTTTAGAATGAAGTAATGTAGAAACTTGTAATCTGCAGAACCTTTTTATTCTAGTTTCATCAGAAACAAGCAGATTTTCTTGCAATCTCTCAGATGGTCCTGCTCAACAGTTTTATAGGCTTTCTGGGGGTTTTTGAAGGTTTTACTTGAGACGTTGGCTACTTTTTCACTCACATTCAGTAGCTGACCACCTCAACTCTAACTATTGTAAATTCTACGCTTTAAACCTTTTTTGATTTAGTGTAAAAATACAGTTCAGTATTTCATTTATTTGTTTATTTTTTACACTACAGTATTTTTTACCGTACAGTTCATTTGTTTTTATTTTTTAAATCCTAACTATTATGTTATTCTTATACATTTTTCTAAGGTCCACATTTGTGTGACCATTTTTTCTATAATCTTTTAGCTGCTGTAAACACCAGAATTTCCCCATTGTGGGAGAATGTAGCGATTTCCTATTGTATTTCCTTCCACTGTTGGGAATTACTTTACTAAATTACTCAAAACACCTGACTTTCCGCATAACGGAATATTCAATAATATTTTGTTTGCTATTTTTGTTCCTCTAATCTACAGACAAACCAAAGCTATGGGTTTGTTTTTATATGCAACCTTTAAACATTAGTAGAAAATGTGCCTATTTTGGAAAGACTATTAAAAACTTCAATGACTGCAATACTTACCATGGCATTGTTTATCCATCTCGGAGCTTCAGCGTCTAGCAGCTTCCAAATGCAGAAGTCTGTGAATAAAAAGCAGAGGTGTGGATGATAGATGAAAAAAAATAATGTAATTAACTTACAATCATGATCTGATGTGCCTCTATTGTACCTTTGAAGGCTGCAGAGAAAGAATCCTCAGCTGAGTTTGTTGCAGGTGAGTCGATCCTATGACCTCTCTGCAACTTTGTGCTGTTTTTACATGAAGCCGCACCTCAGCCTGAACCCGCCCCCTCTGTATCAGCGGTGCCAGAACTCCCAGCAGTCATCCTGTGTTTGGAGTAAAAGATGTGGTCACTAATGTTTATAATCATTGCCACTCCTTGACCTCATATTAGGTTTGATAAGCTGTTGTTTTTTTTTTTCAAGCCCTAAAAAATAAATCTACAACCCAGCCTACAAGGTAAATAGACCTTAGACTGGATAACCTGGCCTTTATTTTGTATTTTCTGCAGACCATGGTGGACAGAACCAGTTTGCTGGCATGTTTGAACAGTTGGAGGATTGTAACTAGGTCTTATCATGTAATAAAAACAGTATTTTCACATTTTCAGTTGCAAAATACTCAGTCATCCTCGAAGAACCAAAGGTTATTGACACTCAAGGCTCACAAATCAAGTCCACTGCCAAGAATTTCAATAAAACACTTTCCAGTGTTTGGAACAACTCTTCTAGGAACCTACAGGAAATATTTTTGCTATTTTTCTAACTGCATGTTTGTTTCAAAGAGGAATCTGGATCAGAAAATAAAATAAAAAACTGGATAACATAGATTGATTGTTTTAATTAAGGTATTAAAAAGTAAGGCAGAGATTACAATAAAATTATTATAGAAATACTCATAAGGGCCTCCTACATATGTAAAAAAGTTTTCCATCAAAAGATGAGTCTATCTTAGAAATTACACAAATTATCAAGGAATTACAACATCAGCTATCTGTCCCCTGCACTGAACTGTGATCGAACCCTATTTTTTTTACTCTCATTGGTGTCAGGTGGTTCCTGTCTGGTTCCAACTGGATTTCTTTATTAGATGTGTTACACCCAATAAGTTTTCCTGAACTCTGTCTCATTTTTCTTTTTCTACAAATGTTATGTTCCCATGCCAACTTCTCAAAAACATAATTCTGCTCAGCAAAAACCGTAAAGGTCAGATATATTTCTGTCAGACATTTGAACTGTGATTCACCACTTAAAAGATTCTCCTTCTGCCACACAAATTAATCACGTCTGATTTCAGTTCTGTAAACTCTATCCACCACATCTTAACTTTTTATCCTCTTGTGGCTTAAACCTTTAATAATCTGATGCTTTAACACCAACTTACCTAATGTTTTAAATAAATTAACTAAGTTTAAGCTGATTCATAAACACATAAACAAACAAATACAAAACGTTTTGATTTCAAGCTTATCTACAAGTATTAATAAACTGAATACTAATCTCTAAATGAAACTGTAATTACTTATCGCGATAAGCAGACTTCCAGCAAAGATCATGTCTGCTTCTTATTTAATAAGCAAACACAAACGCTCTTGGAAACAATTCCAAGATATTCGTACATCTAATAAAAAAATCCTAAGCAGAAACAAGTGTGGCGGAATCCCCAAACACTGAATCTTTCAAAACCTCAAATTTTTCCAAAGCTTTTTCTTCTTCACAGGAACGTTACTGCGGATAAGTTTGGGTGGGGCCTTTCCCCAACTATCTGAAGTCTGTTATTCTGTAGATAAAATTATCACGTCGCTTGGATTTTTAGAACCATGTCCTTTATTTAAAGGGATTTTGGACCATAAATCAATGCTTTGTGTTTGAAAATATTAAAAAAATCCTAAAACAATTGTCAGGCTGTTAATGTGGTCTTTTTTTAGGGTTTATTTAATAGGCCAGGAGCTCTTCTGCACACCAAATGTTTCCAAAGTCCTGTTAAGCAGGTGAGGCTTGATTCAAACTTGTTGAACAACAAAATAATGACCCCAAACACAGCTGCAGATCTAGGATACAATGACTGAAATCGGAAAAGATCAAAGTGTTGCATTGATCTAGTCAAAGTCCAAACTTCAGCCTGATTGAAAAGCTTTGCAGAGACCTGCAGAGAGCTGCACGGATACAAATGTCCTCCATAATGATGTGAGAGACTGAAGTCAGACAGGTGTAGAAAAAAACATCTCATGCTAACGGCTCTTATTGTCTAACAGTGGTTCTCCAAGCTGCTGTTTCAGTAAAAGAAAACAAATAGACTGGGTACCTGGTTGCAGATTTTTTAACGTATTTAAAAATATAAACACCTAATCTGTTAGGTTTATTGTTGTATTATGGTAATGTTTAATGCTAATTATATTCTTAAATGTTTAATGATTTACTAAAATATGTTCTTGCATTTTAAAAGGACTCTATCTTAGAATTTTACACTGTTCGATTTGATTTTGATTTATAATACAATTGTTGTACATTTTCTTTTAGTTGAATTTTTATCTCAAATGTACAGAAGAGGATTAGGGACACTGAAAAAATAAAAAAAAGTTGATTGATTTTTAAATTTTATTTCAGTTTAATATAGAAAAGAATCAGAGTTCTGACTTTAATCTCAGAATTCTGACTTTTATCTCAGAATTTTGGATCTTAATGTACATGGGCACCATGTAGGAAGAGATGTGGGAGCACTCAGCTTCACTGACAAAGATATGCGTTGTTTGGGAGGGCCAGTAACACATTGGTGGAAAACGACAGAACTAGGCGACTTTTTTGTGCCAGAAGGGTCCCTGGTGATGCTATTTCATTAATGGAAGAGCAGAAGGTAATTAAAGCAAGACAGCTTAGATGTCAGAAAACAGTTAGAAAGTCAGAATTCTGAGATTTAAATCAGAATTCTGATTTTTTTTTTCATGTTATACTGAAATAACATTTAAAAATCAGTTAACTTTGCTATTTTTCCAGTGGCCCCAATCCTCTTCCATACAAAAGTAGCCCTGTGTATTAAAAAGTGTAATTAAAAATCATAGTGTTGGCCTTCTCTTTCTTTCAATCTAAGTGCCTTCTCTATTATGTCCACTAGATGGCGATGTGACAAAAATCAGTTAATTTAACAAACTTGCCCACCTTTCTTTCTTTTCGTGGAATGCTGAGTTCATTGCCAATCCTCTGAAATCATAATCAAGTCAGAATTTCTGCAGATAAGAGACAGGAAACGAATTAAATTCTAACTTTAACCAGTAAATGCACAGTGATTTAGCTCAAGATCCAGTAAACACTTAGACATAACTGACTCCCTCTGTCATTTAAACATGAAGACTGGAGGATCTGCAGGGACAGTTTGATGTAAAACAGGAGGAATAGAAGTCCTGGAGGCCTAAACTCAGGGTTAATTAAAACACGGATCCACCTGCAGATGATTAAATCTAAAGGCTCTAATTCCTGCTTCTCGATATTTAGTGATGTAAAAAAAAATTCCCCTCTTATTATTGGCTTTAACACTTGATTGCAAAACTGCACATATATAGAAATATAAATATATCTATTAGAAAAAGATAAAACAAAAATCTTGTAATTTTGAATCTTAGACTGTCCATATAGGTCCATAAGGAAATAATTTATAATATATTCATTTTGCATATTTCTGTGGCAAGGCAATTTAAAGTGCTTTACATCACAAAAACATCATATATATCAGGAAATTAACTCCACAATGATGCCCAGTCAGCCGCAAACTTGAGTACAATGTGATGCACATAATAAACTATCATGAATATGTTATACATATAATTACTCTCATACAAAGGTATTTATTATTAATTGATGGTTATAAAATTAAACATCCATCGGTGTGGAACTAGTCTGTAAGGTGTTTTTAATTTAGTCAAATAAGTACATAAAATAAATGTCATTTTCAGTAATGTTGTAATATTTAACATGAATGCACTTTGTTCCTTCTTTGGGCCACAGTGAGCACATGTGTTATGTTTACCTCCAGAGGATTCTCATTGGACAAACTCAGCAAATACCCGCCCTTTTCCCCGCCCGGCCCGTCTGTGATTGGCCAGCTGACTCTCTGCCCATGTCTCTCCACTTTAATCGAGCAGCGGACGCTTCAGGCTTCCAAAAGTGAAAGCGTTCATGGGGAATGAAGTTTTATTTGTTGCTCACCGAACATGTAAAGCTCTCCGTTAGAACTACAGCTCCCATGTGAAGCAAACAAGTGGGAGGTTCATCAACAGGTGTGGAGCTTCATTCATACCTTCAATCAGCAGGAGTTCTGCATTTAACAGCAGCAATGACTGAAGGAACGTAAGTATTTATTTTGCTTTTCTCTTTAACTAAACTTTGTTCCTCTGTAGTTTGCATGTTTTCCTCTGTAGTTTGTGGAGAATTAAATGATACAATTAAAACTTAACCAATTATTAAATGTGATTTTTTTTTCTTTTGTTGCCTTCTGAAAGGGTTTAATGTGAAAACTTGTTAGTTTCTAGACTTTAATGGTATAGAAACTGCAAAGAGCTTAATCATCTAAGACACTGAAGGTAATGAACAGTTAATCAAAGTGTGGTGTGGTTCAGCTTCCTGGTCCAGGACCATGAAGAACCTCTGAATATTTGTATTTGTTCAAAAAAAACAGAATATGAAGAACTTCTTGAACCCTTCAGGAAAGTAGTGAGTTTTAAAAAAAAGCATCCTAGAGTTATGCTAAATGTCAGCAGGATTATTAATGAACAGAATAACTAATGAGCCAATAAAAAACTGATCTTGACATGAAGAAATCAATCCTGCTAGAATAATAAAGGGTGGCACAATTTTAGTTCAACTGTCAAGGCTGCAGATTGTGACACATTTAAAACTAACCTACAAAAACTGCATTTTTATTTTATCTTCCATTGTTAGTATTACCATAAGATAACATTTACTAAAAGCAGACCTTGGTGCATACTTTTAAACGTACCAAATAATATTTTTTTTCTTTAATAAAGCTTGTTGTACAAAAAAAAAAAAAAAACTTGAATTACACATATGAGATTGGTGTTATTTTCTTCATCAGCTATATCCTTGCAACAGAAAGGTCAGTCATTGGTGCTATGCTACCTGAATAGGCGGCTGCCTCTTTATACGGCGTTAGTTTACCAGATGTATCACATGACAGGCTCCTGGGAGCCTTTATTCGCTTCAATGACCCTCTTTACAATTCCTCCCTCAGAATTTAAACTGGGATAAAAACAAGACCTTGATTTCTAACCTATCTGTGTTTTTACACTTGTGCCCTGATGTCTCTAAAAGCAAATAGATTCGATTATGTGCATAAACCAGCCTGCAGCTGAGGAGAGAGACTGAACGTTTAGAAGTGTTAGTAAAAACTATGTAAGTCTTTTTTAAATATAATAAATGGACTCATGTTATGGTGTTATGGTGACCCCTGTTGCAAAAAGTTTGGACACCCATTGGATAGAGCATATGAAATTAACAGTACAAATATTAGCAGTCCTTTAATAATAGAATAAAACGTTGATCTTCCACTGATGATACATAGGAAAGTATCATCAGTGCAGATAATTTCCTGCTAGTTAAAGCTTCTGCATTAAGTCACCAAAAGCCAATCGATGTGTTTGTATATTCTGTGTGTGTCAGGCAGCTGAGGAGGAGAGGTGGACCTTATAAAACGGATCCGGCCACAGACCTGAGCCGCTGGAGGCTGAGGAACGTGGAGGGCCGGCAGACCTGGGCCTACGTGGAAGATCATGAGACCCCAGACAGAGAGCAGACCATGCTGGAAGCTCATTCTCTGGGCCTGGACATCGTATGTTCTCATTCTTTATCTCCTTTTCCTGATTTAACTCCTACTTAGAAACACACAGAAACTCAGTATCTAGGCCTCAGCTGTCGGTACCACATCTAAACTGGAAGTCGTCTTTAGTTACTGGGTCTTTGAGTATCTGAAGGAAGTGGACTTAGGCTGTTTTTTACCTAAGCAAGGGTAAACTGGATAGTAGATAAGTGTAAAAGTAACAAAATCCAAAGAAAATCCTGAACAAACATTAATAATTTTTGCATCTTTTAGTGTCTTTGTTCTGTATTCAATCCTTCTGGTTTCTGTCCACAGAGCATGTTTGTGTCAGACTCCCCTGCCTCTGAAAGTGCTGTAGAAGCTGCTTTTAAAGGAATGAACTTCTACAGACGTCTCCAGGCTGAGGACGGCCACTGGGCCGGAGACTACGGCGGGCCCCTCTTCCTGCTCCCAGGTGAAGGAAATCATTCTTCTCATTAACACCTGAGGCTGACAGTCACAGACCCCATCCTGGGAGGGATTTTATTTCTACCTCTGTGTCCTTTTGTGTTCTCCAGGTCTCCTTATTACCTGTCATGTTGCAAAGATCCCTCTGCCAGAAGCCTGGAAGAAGGAGATGGTGAGGTACCTACGCTCCGTTCAGCTGCCAGACGGAGGTTGGGGTCTGTAAGTCCACATCACAATTTTATCTTAGTAACATGATCCATCCAGTAAACATTTTAACTGTTGGGCCTTTTAACATACCTTCTGACATTTTTTTAAGAACAGCTAAAAAAAAAATCCTTGTATTGGGGATATAAGATACCGTACAAAGAGTTTCAGGTGTTATTTTTTTCCAGGCCAGTCCAGCAGCTGTATCCTCCTCTTCCTCAGTCATATCTGTTGAATTCGTTCAGACTGCAGTTTTCCATAAGCTGGTTAAAAATGAAGCTAAAGTTATTGGAGTCAGGATATATTATAAAGCATATGATGGACTTGTTTACTCATTTAAAATGACTGTTTCTGCACCTTCCACAGACATATTGAGGATAAGTCCACCGTGTTTGGAACGGCTCTGAGCTACACGTCTCTCAGGATCCTGGGGGTGGGTCCTGATGATCCCGATCTGGTTCGAGCTCGTAACAACCTGCACAGTAAAGGTTTGGACCACAACAAACACACTGCCGCCACTGAAGTCAAAGGAACATCCTGTTAATGAGTTCTCTTTGTCTCTGGGCTTGGTTCTTTTTTAAGGTGGCGCCGTCGGGATCCCATCGTGGGGTAAATTCTGGTTGGCTATTTTAAACGTCTACAGCTGGGATGGGCTGAACACGTTGCTGCCAGAGATGTGGTGGGTCAGAACAACCGGCGATGCTTGCTTTGAATAATAAGAAACATATCAGGCCTTTTTGAGTTTTCTTTTTGTGTTTCTGGCTGCTTTGTTGCTCTTTGTCTACTGCTGAGTCTAATCGTTTCAGGTGATTGATGGTTTTTGTGTGTTTCAGGCTGTTCCCCACCTGGATGCCAGCCCACCCATCAACCCTGTGGTGTCACTGTCGCCAGGTCTACCTGCCTATGAGCTACTGTTATGCTGTCAGACTGTCAGCAGAGGAAGACCCCCTGATCCTCAGCTTACGACAGGTGACAGGACCATGAGGCAGCCAGCAGGGGGCGTAAATAGTTCTTATGATTAAACGATGTGTTTTTTATGTGATGTTCGATTCAGTTCGAAACACGTTATCTCAAGGCACGTTACAGAGAAAATTCAACCAGATCATACAGTCAGATTGATTCAGTTCTCTATCTAAGGAAAACCAGCTGATTGCATCGACTCATTGTCTCGACAGCAATCCATTCCACCAAGCATGCGTGTAGTGACAGTGGAGAGGAAAACTCACACTGAGCTTGGTTCTACTGGAGGTTTCTTCCTCAAGTTATTATATCCATTTGCTAAAAAGTTGTATAATCACAATTTGTTACTCTGTGCAAGGAGAAGACAACATCTGGGTCTTTTTCATGGTATCTGTGTAGAAAAGATGATAAACCTAAAAAGCTGCTCTGGGCATCATTTAAAGGAATAGTACACCCAAAACATGATTAGCCTTCATTTTCTACTCACCCCCATGCTGAACAACACTCTGGAGTACTTTTTTGATATCTCAAATGCATCTGGAGATCTGGGAGGCTTCTTGCTCTCTGCTGACATTCAAATAATGGATGTCTATGGTGCCCGAGGCAGAAAGGTCCATAAAAGTCCACAAAAAACGTGTCAATATTCCTCCATACTGCTCGTCCAATGTATTCCAAGTGTCCTGAGTGGGTAGCGTCCATAGTTTACTCGAAACAAAGTCATTTAGAATGTTTTTAGAGCATAAACAGTAGTGTATAGGATTTCCTAAAAGCGCGTTCATGAGTCTACGGAAACCGCGGCAGACCAAACCAGATGAAAGTGCGCATTTGAGATATCAAAAAAGTACTCCAGAGTGTTGTTCAGCATGGGGGTGAGTAGAAAATGAAGGCTAATCGTGTTTTGGGTGTACTATTCCTTTAACATTTGTTCATGTTGTGTTGGACTTTACCTGCTGGAGGCTACGCTTTATAAAAATCATTAAAAAAGCATAAACATACATTTACTACCTCCTTTCATGTTGATGTTACTGATAGTTTGATTCCCTAAAGCATGTTTAAAAAAATTTGTTTCAAACAAAAATAAAATTACTGAAATGAAAATTAAAAAAACAATAAACAAACAAAGTAAAATAATAATATTGGATTGTGCTAAAACCAGGCAGGCTCTGTCTGGATGATCTCAGGGTTCTTTTGGGGTTGAACAACTGATGCTAAAGTATTAAGTCTAAAAATGATTGGGATGTTTGTGTTTGTGATCCAGGAGCTGTATGTGCAGAACTATGAGACCATTTACTGGCCCGCTCAGAGGAACAACGTGGCTGCATGTGACCTATACACGCCTCACAGCACTCTGCTCACCATCGCCTACAGTAAGAATCATCTGCACAGAAATATAGATTAAAAATGATTGTTTTATTTTTAACACAATTATTCTTTATGCATTTTTGACAATTTAATTTCTTTACGTAACTGTGTATTTTATTATTTCAATTTATATGTTCTGCTATATTTGATAAATATAAGTAGACATTCCAAAAAAGTTAAAAAAAAAACAATCCACTGGACTTTGTTTCCAAGTTTGAAGATGGTTCGCTTCCCATCCAGGAAGCTTTTTCAATTCAAAATGTCAGGAACAGCGCTGAGTTCGAGGCTTTATACAGCAGCCCAACAAGGCCTTGTTTTTGTTTAGAAAAGATGCAAATTGAAACTGACCAGACCAACAGCCAGGCCAACAATTCCCTTTAACAACACCCCTTGCAGAGACACAGACAGGTATGGGGCATTGCAGGCTAACAAAAGAAGCCATTCCAAAGTGGTGGACCCGTTCGTCCGTTTCAGTTTGCATGTTTTCTAAACAAAAGCAAGGCCTTGTTAGGCTACTCTATACAGCCTCAAACTATACACCATTTCTGACATTTTGAATTGAAAAAGCTTCTTGGATGGGGAGCGAAACGTCTTCAAACTTGGAAACAAAGTCCAGTGGATTGTTTTTTAGATATTAGCTCTACTTAAATATCTTGATTGATATTCATGGTGTTAGATTATTATTATTTTTTTTATCATGAAGAGGCTGTTTTATTTATCTAAATGTGTGACTCTGTCTGTGACCCTGCAGTGGTGTTGAACATGTATGAAGCCAACCACAGCAGCACGCTGAGAAAGAAGGCCGTCAGAGAGCTGTTTGACCACATCCAGGCTGACGACCGCTTCACCAAATGCATCAGCATCGGACCGGTATTGAAAATTCACTCATTTCAAAGAATAAGATGAACTACTTTGATTTGGAAAACCTCAGTTTCACTCATTTTTTACTAAAGGTTGTAATGTTTTGGTGCAGATCTCCAAGACAATCAATATGCTGGTTCGCTGGTATGTGGACGGTCCCAAATCAGAGGTTTTTAAGGAGCACGTCTCCAGGATCCCAGACTACCTGTGGTCAGTCTGCAGCTCTCTGATAACGTCCAGTTTTAACAATAGAAACCAGAAAATTCAAATAAAACACATAGTTTATGGAAAGTAATGAAAGTAATCAACCAGCTGGAGGTTTTCTGTCTTACAGGTTGGGACTGGATGGAATGAAAATGCAGGTGAGATTTTATCATCTGCTTTAATTTTAAGGCTATGAAAACCATTTTTTTTATTAACTATATTATTTAACATTACATATGTTTTGTTTTTGGTTCTTATTTTGTTTCTGGTGTTTTTATAGTTTTTAACTTTCAAACACATTTCAGAAAATTAAGGGACAAAAAATTTGCAGAACCGAAAACCTTAACAGATGTCTCCAAGTTAAGCATAGAGTTGGGCATAAATCTGAATCTGAAAGATTAGTACAAAGGCACGTTTTATGCTAAAGACTGAAAAGTGTGGCTTGCATTTTTATTCTGAATCCATATTTTGTAGATCAACAAATGTTACTTCTTCAGCTTTCTTCTTTTTGACTATTAAGCCGATGTGACGAGTGAATTTCTCCAATGTGAGATCAATAAGTCAATCTTATCTTATCTTAGCCTTTAACTCCATTTATGTTCACATCGACCACCTAGCTTGGCCAGCCAGACAGATAGGAAGTATACAGGCTGTATCAGTGTGGTGAAGCTCTTTTCAAATTTGGGACTAACAGGTTCCGCTTCATCAGGTTAGAACATTTCAGCTGCAGATGTGACGCAAGAACTCCAAGGGATGCATTCAGCTTTTATAATTTTGTAGTCCAAGAAACTTGTCAAGTCGTTGAAGAAACTACTACAATTTCATTGGATCATTGCTCTGTTGAGATCGCCAGCTTGTCACGCTAGCAGAAAAGCTCTGCTGCATTATAGGTCAATCTGGCCGGAGTCAGCAGCGTTTAACCAGATTGAATCAGCTCATGTTCTTGCTAAAGAAAATATTTCCTTAGAGGGAATAAATGAATCTAAAGAGTGCCTCATTACCAGACTGCTGAGGTGGATGACATGCTAAGGGAGTTAAGCTGATAAGATCCGGTGTGCTGGGGAGGAGGTGCATCTAGAAGTTGCAGGATGGCAGCTCTAGAAAACTGGACTTTAGGATCTCCTGGTTTAGGGGCATGTGCAGTTTTAATACAGAACCACAGTGTTTTATACATTTATCTAAGTTACATTTTGGTCTCTTCTTATTAGATAACATTAATATATGAACATTAATATAAATTAATGCTATGATTTTTAATCTCGACTTACAAAAATATGCCAATTTTCCTTTATTTCAAATTGAGCTCTATTTTCTGTTGCTTTGCCAGACCAAACACACCGGTGGTTTTGATTGAAACATGAAAAAACTGGAAAATTACTGAAAAAAATCCATTTGAACTTTCAATTTTTCGCTTTTGTTGTCCTTTTTGTTTCTGTTTCATTATTTTCTGTTTTTAATAAGTTTCCTTGTATTGTTGCCTTTCACAGGGAACCAATGGCTCTCAGCTCTGGGACACGTGCTTCGCTGTCCAGGCTTTTCTTGAGGTATCAGTGTGTGGATGCTTTCCCCCTGTGTTCATGTTTTCTGGTTGTTGAATGGTTTCTCTATGGTTTCCTCTCAGGCTGGAGCCCAGGATGACCCTGAACTGATGGAATGTCTTCAAGAAGCCCATGAGTTCCTCAGAATTACTCAGGTTAGAGAGCATAACTACTCCTCCTTTTTACTCACGTCTGTAAAAGCAAAAACTGTAAGATCTGAACCTCCCAGTAACGAAGGATTCCTGATTTGTATCCACTCTTTCCACTCCCACAGATTCCCGACAATCCCCCTGAATATAAGAAATACTACAGACAGATGAACAAGGTGAAGTAAAAATGATGCAAAAATGTACTTTAAACTAAAAGAGATATAATACAAAGAAACTAGCAGAGACATATAAGTTTATTTTCCATATACAGCCCTTCTGCATCCATAGCTCATAAGCTGCATCTTTCTGTGCTCATCAGGGCGGCTTCCCCTTCAGCACCCGTGACTGTGGCTGGATCGTGGCCGACTGCACGGCTGAAGGCCTGAAGTCGGTGATGCTGCTGCAGGAGCTCTGTCCCTCCCTCAGACAGCCAATCGCCTCAGAGCGTTTATACGATGCCGTCAATGTGGTTAGTTTCTGCAGAAACAAAGCAGGGAAAAATTAAGAACAATTAGTTCTTTCTTTGCTCTAATAAAGGGAGCGTTATCACAGATCCTTCCTCCCAGCAGCTGTAAGACTCTATAACCACCACTGTACCCAACAACCTCAATTAGTTCTTACTCTTATGCTGATTTTGCGCACTTTCTACCTTAGTCAGTTCAATAACATACTGCTGTAATTTTGCACATCTCTGATGTTGCTGCTCTTTTAAAATATCCATTGCTGGAAAAATGTCCATAGCTGCATATTGGTTATTTATTCTCCAGTTGCACAGTTTTCTATTGTGTTTACACTTTACAATTAAGCATTTTTTTGTTTATCTTTTAACTCTCCACTATTATATTATTCTTATACATTTTTCTAAGGTCCATGTTTGTGTGACAATTTTTTCTAGAATCTTTTTGCTGCTGTAAACACCAGAATTTCCCCATTGTGGGAAAAAAAGGGATGTTCTATTCTATTCTATTCTAGTCTATGCTATTCTGTTCTAAATGAGGTGATGCACATTTTTTGTTATGGATCTTTATCTTCCAACATAACCAAGATCCCATTTCAACACAGATCTGATAATCTGTTGTGGATTTTTATTTCTTGACAAATTGTTTTTAGTTTTCTACCAGGTTATTAATACCATTATTAATGATAAATATTCTAAGGCTCCCAGACCTTCAGAGGAGGAATAAACCAAATGCATCAGTGGTTCTTTACACAGCTTTAAGGTGGATATGAGGTGGAATTACACCTTTTCTTTCGAAAATTGGACACACCCGGTGCCAAATCTGAGACCAGAGCTCCTAAATCCAGTTATGGTCCCAGCAGAGTTTATCCAATCCTGGGTGTTTATATTTTGGATGGTCGGACAGAGAGAGTTTTATCCCTCTGGAGTTCTACCAAGCGATAGTATGATTAGAGATAGCTTACAGCCTTGTTTGATTTGTCTGTTGCTGTTTTGTAGCTGCTGAGCATGAGGAACAGTGATGGTGGATTTGCTACGTATGAAACTAAAAGAGGAGGAAAACTCTTGGAGCTACTTAACCCCTCTGAGGTGTTTGGTAAGCATCAAGCTGGCATGAAAAAAATTAATTGGGTTATTTTAATTCACAAAACATTATTCAATTTTCAGCAAGATACATTTTCAAATTATTTTAACAATCTGAGTTATAATTCCCATCATGTTTTTAAGTAATTTCTCCTATTCTTTTAATGCAATTTAATTTCCTTCAAAAAGAGAGTTTTTAAATGGATTTTTAATACCTGTTTGTTCTACTCATGCATCATGTCTAGGTTTTAGGAGTGAGACATTTATCCAGATATTTCCTCTGTTGTGGTATAATTATTCATACGGCGCTCTGCTTGTCTGCATCAGGTGACATCATGATAGACTACACATATGTGGAGTGCACCTCTGCAGCAATGCAGGCTTTGAGGCACTTCCAGAAGGTCTATCCTGATCACCGCACTGAAGAGATAAGGTTCGCAAACAAACTATTTTATTTTTCTTCAAACCTTTTTCATACTTTTTGTTAAAAAGGTTGATAGATATCTTATCATTTTCTTTTTTAGATGAATCCAGGCTTTTATTCCATGGTTTACATTAATTTCTTTATTTAGATTTAGAAAGAAATATGTTTAAAAAGCATTAATCAGATTTATGAAAACTGGTGTGTTTATGGTTAAGAAATAAAAAAGAGCAACGTTACATCAGAGACTGGCATAAAGTCTGAGCATAGACAGAAATGTTTCCTGCTCAAATGGGGGTTAAGAAAGTGAAGATTTTTTTTTATCAATTGCTTTAGTGAACAGCAGAAAACCCATAGAAATAATAGCAGTATCATAGATGCATAATAAACCAGCAAAAAATCTTAGAGTATTTAAATAGTCCTTATTCCAATGCATAACTCAACAGCTGTTTTTCTAGTAGTGATCAATGCAGTACTTGTGCACAGCCTTCCTATAGTATGCGGCGCAAGATTAAAGTCTACGTTTCCTGCGTATTATCAGCCGCTGTTTCACTTGCCAGATTTTAACATCACTAGAGTATAAGAATCAAAGAATAAGACTCAAATAATCTCGCTGCTCTTATCTGAAGCCAGCTTCTCTATATTTAATTTTTTTTATTCCTTTATTTAACCAGGAAAAGTCCCATTGAGATTATCAATCTCTTTTTCAAGGCCTGGCCAAGACAGCGGCAAAAGATTACATTACAGTTTACAATAACATCTATCTAAAACCGTTACAAATCATAGATCTTATTTCCAAACCTTTGAGCAATGAAGCTGATGTCATGTTTTGCCCTAAAACATGACATCAGCTTCATTTTAGGCATGTAGTTGATGGAAAAAAATGGTCTGTAATTTATTTTTATGAAAATCAAATTGTGGATAATTATCCTGTTTGAGATTTTCCTGTCTTGGACTAATATAGGAGGATATTTGTCTTTTTTTAAGTGGTCTGAAGGTTTTCCTTTTTTTTTTTTAGATGTTTTTTTTTTTCATCAGTCATCTTTATATCAATTAATAATAGAATTGTATTATTTATCTTCATTGCTTTTGATTTCACAAGTTCTATATACTGCAAAACTGCTCTAAAAATAGGTGAACTCCTCTTAAAACAAGAGTATTTGAGCACATCCATAACATGATCTACTAGTGGAATGAGTATTTTTCCCCTTTAAAATAGATATGATGCACTTGAAGTAAGAGAAACGAGTTGCATCAAAAATAAAACATCTCATTCTATTGGTGAATCAAGGAAACATAAACATATTTCAAGAAACAATTACTTACTTGCTGTGTAAATCTATGTTTATGTTAATAAACATAGATTTTGTTACATCCTGGGTGTATTTTTTTTTTTTATGGTCAAAGGTAAACATTTGTAGAAACAGATACTTTATTTTTTAAAATTGTATTGCAAGTCTTGATTTTTTTTATACAGATGAAAAGGAATATTTCTCTGTGACAGATTGCTTGTAACAATTAAAAATCGTTAACGTAGAATTAATCAGGAGCCTATTTTGTGCCTGACTGACAGATCTTGGTGAAAAGCAACCAAATCCAAAATAAACAGAACAGTTCTGTCTCTCATTCAGATCCACTCTAAGGGAAGGTCTTGAATACTGCAGGAGGGTTCAGAGGACTGATGGATCGTGGGAAGGGTGAGCCATGACTTGTTTTAGCCCCTAACAAATAACCAGCAGCTCTTTATTCAGTGTTCTGGTCCTTCCTCAGATCCTGGGGAGTTTGCTTTACATACGGGACGTGGTTTGGTCTGGAAGCCTTTGCTTGCATGGGTCACACCTATAAGAGCATGTACGGTGGACAAATCCATACATCTGCTGCTTTTTAAGAAGATGGACTTAAAGAAAAAGGTATTCTTTGTCACCAGAGATGTGCAGGTTGAGGTGCAGAAAGCTTGTCGGTTCCTGCTGGAGCACCAGATGTCTGATGGAGGCTGGGGGGAGGACTTTGAGTCGTGTGAGCAGCGGCGCTACATCCAGAGCAGCTTGGCTCAGATCCACAACACCTGCTGGGCTTTGTTAGGCCTCATGGCGGTCAGGTAAGGCTCCTACATTTACCAGCACATTTTTAGGTGTGGAATGAAGTTTCTGACAGTTTCCTGATCTTATGTATGTTTGTGCAGACATCCTGACCAACAGGCCATTGAGAGAGGAGTTAAGCTGTTGATTGATAAGCAGCTTCTAAATGGAGACTGGCCTCAGGTGACTTAGTGCCTCCTTCCTTCAGATCATATATTTTATAACTAGAACTAAATCCACTGACAGTAAGAAATGTGTCTTATATCTGTTTGCTTTGAAGGAGAACATTTCTGGTGTGTTTAACAAGAGCTGTGCCATCAGTTACACCTCCTACAGAAACGTCTTCCCAATCTGGACCCTCGGACGCTTCTCAAGGCTTTATCCCAGCAGTCCATTGGCTGGGAAGCTGAAGCTGTGACATCCTGCAGAATATCACATCTGAAATCTACCTTAACTCTGATGTTTTCTTTCATGGTTGATCAGAACATTTTTAATGTTAGGTCTAAACCAGATAACACAATGATCAGTCAGAGTTAGTGAAATAGGTCTCTACAAATGGTAGTTCCCAATGTGCCACAAGCAGGCAAAAGAGTTTAGAGGTTCTGATGCTTGGAATTTCAGAGTTCCCTGATTCATTGTTTATTATATATTAAGTAATTTATTTGATTTTTTTTTTCAGCTTCACTTTAAGCTAGCGTTTTCCACATAGTTTGCTTCATTAACACTGAAAGGATCCTTAGAAAGATGTCAGACTCAATCAGCCAGGTGGAAGTCTTTGGTCATTTTCCAGGTCTTGTATTTGCTAATTAATCAGTAACCATGCAAACACTTTTAGCCACGGTATATGTTCTTGTGCATTTGAATAAATAATTTCCATGTTCATAAACAGATGTGTGGATTGCAGAATAAATGTAAGACCAAAACAACTCTTTCGGTGCTTCTGTGAAAGTTAAAACATTTTAAAATGGTTATTTTTTTCCCTTAAAATGATTTCATGGGTTTGGTTGGGATGAGCTCAAAGAAGCCTTAGTTTTGGTTTATGTGAAGTCATTGGAGTTCATTCGTATTGCCTAGTAAGCAATCTAATATACACAGTTGTTTATATACATGCACAATGTCAACAGTGTTGGGCACGTTACTTTGAAAAAGTAGTTAGTTAGAGTTACTAGTTACTTCTCCCAAAAAGTAACTGAGTTACTAACTGAGTTACTCCACTATAAAAGTAACTAGTTACTAGTAAAAGTAACTATTGCGTTACTTTTGCATTTCTCGCCCCCGTAACCCTCACCACCCGGCCCCCACCTTCTCGCCGTGTGTTTTAAAAGCCAGCTGTATAGAGAGGACGACAAAGACAAGTACCTGCCGAGAGTTTTGCATTTATTGCAACTCAACGTAAATGACATCAGGGGAAAACGCTATCTGACGGGCCTATAAACCCCGTCAGATAGCGTTAATGTGTTTGAAAACCAAAGTTTATATGGAAGAATTTGGGATATGAGCAGTGCAGGCTCACAGCAAACGGGGGTTTTCATGTCCCAGGCTGCTACACTAAGGGATCTTCACGAGACGTTTTCCTCCAGTCTGGCTCTGTAAGTTCTGAAACTCAAGAGAAATGTGTTGCAAAATGTCTGTTTTACAGCAGTTCGGTTCAGAAAAGTAAAACATCATGACTTATCCTTGGTCATCCTGGATATCCATGCTGGTTGACTCTTCTAGGCAGCCTCATGCAAAGAGAAGAGAAAGAGATCCTGTGTGCTGTGGTTTTACTGTTCCCAGCTCTGCGGGGGACCAAGGCAAGTCCATGTCCAAACCCACAATCATGGCACATAGCATTACAAAAATACAGGTGCTGGTCATAAAATTAGAATATCATGAAAAAGTAGATTGATTTCAGTAATTCCATTTAAAAAGTGAAACTTGTATATTATATTCATACATTACATACAAACTCATATATTTCAGATGTTTATTTTGTTTAATTTTGATGATTACAAATGACAACAAATGAAAATCTCAAATTCATCATATCAGAAAATTAGAATATTGTGAAAAGGTTCAAAATTGATGGCCCCTGGTACCACACTCTAATCAGCTAATTAACTCAAACCACCTGCAAAAGCCTTTAAATGGTCTTTCAGTCTAGTTCTATAGGCTACACAATCATGGGGAAGACTGCTGACTTGACAGTTGTCCAAAAGACGACCATCGACACCTTGCACAAGGAGGGCAAGACACAAAAGGTCATCGCTAAAGAGGCTGGCTGTTCACAGAGCTCAGTGTCCAAGCACATTAATAGAGAGGCGAAGGGAAGGAAAAGATGTGGTCGAAAAAAGTGTACAAGCAAGAGAGATAACCGCACCCTGGAGAGGATTGTGAAACAAAACCCATTCAAAAATGTGGGGGAGATTCACAAAGAGTGGACTGCAGCTGGAGTGAGTGCTTCAAGAACCACCACACACAGACGTATGAAAGACATGGGTTTCTGCTGTCGCATTCCTTGTGTCAAGCCACTCTTGAACCACAGACAGCGTCAGAAGTGTCTTGCCTGGGCTAAAGAGAAACAGGACTGGACTGCTGGTGAGTGGTCCAAAGTCATGTTCTCTGATGAAAGTAAATTTTGCATTTCCTTTGGAAATCAAGGTCCCAGAGTCTGGAGGAAAAGAAGAGAGGCACTTCATCCACGTTGCTTGAAGTCCAGTGTAAAGTTTCCACAGTCAGTGATGGTTTGGGGTGCCATGTCATCTGCTGGTGTTGGTCCATTGTGTTTTCTGAGGTCCAGGGTCAACGCAGCCACATACCAGGAAGTTTTAGAGCACTTCATGCTTCCTGCAGCTGACCAACTTTTTGGAGATGCAGATTTCATTTTCCAACAGGACTTGGCACCTGCACACAGTGCCAAAGCTACCAGTACCTGGTTGAAGGACCATGGTATCCCTGTTCTTAATTGGCCAGCAAACTCTCCTGACCTTAACCCCATAGAAAATCTATGGGGTATTGTGAAGAAGAAGATGCAATACACCAGACCCAACAATTCAGAAGAGCTAAAAGCCACTATTAGAGCAACCTGGGCTATCATAACACCTGAGCAGTGCCACAGACTGATCGACTCCATGCCACGCCGCATTGCTGCAGTAATACAGGCCAAAGGAGGCCCAACTAAATACTGAGTGCTGTACATGCTCATACTTTTCATGCTCATACTTTTCAGTTGGCCAACATTTCTATAAATCCTTTGTTTTTATTGGTCTTCAGTAATATTCTAATTTTCTGATATGATGAATTTGAGATTTTCATTTGTTGTCATTTGTAATCATCAAAATTAAACAAAATAAACATCTGAAATATATGAGTTTGTATGTAATGTATGAATATAATATACAAGTTTCACTTTTTAAATGGAATTACTGAAATCAATCTACTTTTTCATGATATTCTAATTTTATGACCAGCACCTGTAAGAAGATGCAATCTGTCCTCTAGCAAGAGTAAGTGAGCAGGGCATTTACCATTGGGTTGTAAGCAGAGGCGTAGCCAGAACATTTTTATAATGGTGGCCAGGCAATAACCAATGTACACTGAGGGGTGGCCAAAAGGGGATAGTCACCAGAACCTCAGGGTCAATCTACACTGTTCCAACAGGAAAATTAACAGGCAAAATATCCATGTTTTCTAAATAAAGACTAACTATACTTTCCTACAGCCTTTGCTAACAAATAGACTCATATATTTAAACATCCGTGCTTTCTAAACAAAAGGTATAGTGGATAAAATTCTTTCAGTTTTTAGATCTGGGTCGTAAATCTTTTCCATCGTCATTACTTACCTACTTGTATCAATAAACATTCTGCATGAAACTCATATTTACAAGCACTTATTAATAAACTGATTATTTGATTTTTTTTTTTTTGTTATTTATCTATGATTTCACTGAAGATTCCCAGATGACTTGCAGAGACACATTTTCTCTTTACCCCACATAACACAAAATCTAGTTCTGAAAAGGGCATGAATTCTGTATTCATCATCTTTGATCTTAGTATATTGATGTGTATAATTAACCACAAAAAATATAAATGTTTTGAATATTCCACTTGAGAATATTACTGCTGCCACCGTATTAGAGGGAAAAAATGGTAGGGGTGGCCACAGGGGTTGCCAGTGATTGGCTAAGGGTGGCCATGGCCACCCCGGCCCCTGGTTGTAAGGCCAACAGCGAGGCACACTACAGTTCAGTCGACTTCGGAAAGAAGGAATTGTCATCTCAAATTATCCTGGATCTTTCATGTAATGGTAAAAATTTTGACTCATATCAGCTTTGTCTCCTAGCTGATCAGGAAATCTGCAGAATCACTGTTCATGCAGAACAAGCTTCTTTGAAGGATAAATTTGTCTTTGCTAACAAAGATGGAGCACCACGAGGTATAAAGTGTTTCACAGATGCTGAATGGCAGGCTCATCTTGGTTATGTCACCTATGGTGTGATGTCAGAGCTGCTGGGCATGCTGGGGACTGTAGTTATATTTTGATATGATTATATTGGCCCAACACTCCACTGGGGTTACAAGCTGCAGTTGGTGTCCTTTACAGTTCACTGCTTCTGCCCCTTTCTTAATGACTGAGCCACTCCCTCCTGGAAGGCTGTGGTTGTTGTCCTTGGCACTTGCTTGAGCCGTGCACCATTGTCTTTCATGTACAAATTGACCGAGACACTCTGGTTTTGTCTTAATCTGTGGCAAATTTTAGAATTTGGATTGCATCCATCCCTTTTATTTATAAATGGATCATTGGATGGTGCATGTCTCCCTCTGTGCGTGTTTTAATGTGATTAATTAGGGGGAATTAACAGTTTTCTCCAATGTTTATAGTTTGATTATTTATTTGATCTGTGCATTTATTTAATTTGCTATTTTATCTATTGATTTTGATTTTTTTATCATTGAAAGGTTATTTTTTTGTATTTTTTACATGTTTTGTTTGTTTGGTAAAGCTAAATGTATATCTTTGCTTCATGCCCTCTTTTCCTGAAGTCTGTGGTGTCTTAAAAATAGGATCATCTGTTCTAATTAATATTATGCAAGCCAAAGGATTTGCCAAGACCATTGAATGGGTTTCAGGACTTTTTCAGAAAAAACGAAGTGAGATTTTGGTTACCTCAGAATAAAGGTTGTTTTGTTGTTTAAATAAATTGCCAATAAAAATAAATACAGTTGTAGAACCAAGTCTGTAGTCCAAAATGCATTTCTGAGCTTGTGATTTTTAATTAGTTGGGTAGTAAAATTCCCCTAACTGTGACAGCCAGACTGACTTATGGCCTCTGTAACTTAGTCTGGCTGGCAATGGTATGATTAATGAGGGTGGAGGAGAATACCTCTGTTTACTTTGGTTTGCGATAACAGTTATACTGATCTGATACATTGTACCAATCCAATACAGTTAATAAATTCTTTGTCATAATGAAGACTTTTGACTGTATTCTCTGATATGCAAAAAAATAAAGGTGGACTTTACCTTGAATGTGTCACAGTTATGATGCTTTTGTTTTCTGCTAAGGGTTCGTTGGTCGATTGTACTTCCTCTATGTTTGTCGAGAAATTATGTTTTGACATACAGAGTGTGACAAAGAGCATTTATTTAGCTTTCTGGTATACTGTAAAATTTTAATAATAATAATAATGGATTTTATTTATAACGCAATTTACATTTGAATTCAAACCTCAAAGTGCTACAGTTCAAAAAGGGAAACTTAAAACAAGGTTAAAAGACCATAACATTAAAAACAGAGTAAAAAGACAATCATTAAAATCAATACATTTGAAGGCATACGTAGC